GAACCTGGATTTCTCAGCAGAAACTATGCAAGCAAGAAGGCAATAGAATGACATATACAAAACTCTGAAAGAAAAAGATTACCAACCAAGAATCATATATACCCAGCAAATCTGTCCATCAAATACTATGGTGAAATTAGGACATTTCCCGATAAACAGAAATTAAAGGAATTTGTAATGACCAGACCAACTTTACAAAAAATGCTAAAGGGTGTTCAACAACAGCAGACCACAACCTGAGATTACCATACACGACAACACCACCCAGAACTCAATCTAGATACGTTGTTTTTGTTAAGTGCCTTCAAGTCAGTTCTGACCCACAGCGACCCTACATAGGGTTTCCAAGGAGTAGCTGGTGAACTTGAACCACCGACCTAGGGGTTCAAACTGACTTTGCAGTCCAGTGCATTAACCCACAGTGCCATACCAGGACTCCAATTCAAATATAGAAGTTGTTGTTGTTGTTAAGTGCCGTCGAGTCAGTTCCGACCCATAGCGATCCTGTACAGGGTTTCCGAGGGTGTAAATATTTCCGGGAGTAGAAAGCCTCATCTTTCTCTCGCGGAGCGGCTGGTAGTTTCCAACCGCTGACCTTAAGGTTCACAGGCCGATTCGTAACCACTATGCTACCAGAGAAGTAAAATTTCTTATTAAGAGTAAATTAAATCTACAAGACTGAGAAGAGTGAACCAGCGATATCAATGTATAATGAAGTCTACAAAGCAAAAAGAGGGAATAGTGTAGACTGAGAACTTCCAAATGGCAAGGAAGTCATGTAAATTTCAAGACAAAAAAAGACTGTTTTAAGTTAGGAGAAAAAAGTGAGAAATTACAGGCTAACCTTAAAGAAAAATTATGCACCTGCACATCAAAATAAAACAGAGGAAAATCAGAAAAATTAAGTAAACATTAACACAATAGAAATGAAAATGTCAAGGAAATCCACAAACAAAATGAATTCAATGTAGCAAATTATGTGAAACAAAGAATCCAGTAACACCACACACAAAAAAAGCACACAAGAAAAAGACAGCAATCAACTCAGACCTATTGATAATTACACTGAATATAAATGTCAAGAGACATTAAGAGCAGAATGGATAAGAAACCTGGATCCTTCAATATGCTGTCTATAAGAGACATCAAAAAGATGGAGACAGCCTAAATGCCCATCACCAGAAGAATGGTTAAACAAACTTTGATACATATACACAATGGGATACTACACAATGTTGAAAAGTGATGATGAATCTGTGAAACACCTCACAGCCTGGTTGAACCTTGAAGACATTATGCCGAGGGAAATGAGTTAGTCTCAAAGGACAAACATTGTGAGAATAACGTAAAAAGTTTTCTTGGTAAAAGAAATAATCTATGAAGTTTATAGGGGGAGGAGGAGTAATAAAATTATTAATGGGCTAGATGATGTTGTTGTTGTTAGGTGCCATTGAGTCGGTACCCACTCATAGCGACCCTATGCACAACAGAATAAAACACTACCCGATCTCACTATTGTTGCCATGCCTGAGTTGCCACTTTGCCAATCAATCTCGTTGGGGGTCTTCCTCTTTTTCTCTGACCCTCCACCTTACCAAACATGATATCCTTCTCTAGCAACTGGTCTCTCCTGACAATATGTCTGAAGTATGAGAGATGAAGTTTGGCCATCCTGGCCTCCAAGGAGCACTCTGGCTGCACTTCTTCCAACACAGATCTGTTGGTTCTTTTGGCAGCCCATGAACTTTCAATATTCTCCTCCAACACCAGAACTCAAAAGCATCAATTCTTCTATGGTCTAGACTACATGTTAACATGGGTGACAGAGCAGGCAAGATATAATGAGAAGGAGGTTAGCAGAGGAAAGATGAAGGTTACAGGAGAGAGGGGGGAATGCAACAGTTAACTGTTGGCACATGGAGGGTATTGCAACCATGTAGTGAAGCAAAGTGTGTGGTTTGTTGAATGTACAACTGATGATCTGCTCTGTAAACCTTCCCTCAATTCACAGTAAAAAGTAAAAAAAAAAAAAAAAAAAAGTTGTACCCAAAGTGGGGGAGCAAGAATTTTCATTAATTTTAACCTTGCTTTAAAGACTGATGGAAAGATCAACCCTTTGTGCTAGCTGATCTTCTCAAAAAGATATTTTTTTAGTATCCTTTTAAAAATTACTTTTGAAGGCTCCCAAATGAGATTTAAGACATGTGTATTGTTGAGAGAATTTGTCTGCAGCCATTTGCTGATGGAAAAGACATGTCTGAGCATGCTTTATTTGGAACAAACCCGTGCATATATGAACTGGGACCCTAGTAGCAATGTGTTTTGACATAAATCTGTGTATATATGTACAATTAATTCTTATTCAATGTCTATATTCACTCAAGAAAAATTAAACATAGTTTTAAATTGTTTTATAGGTCCCTGATGATTATTTTGCTCAGCTAAGATAATTTTGGTCAGTGATTTATCTTGAATAATTTTCTTTTCTAAAATGGTTATATTTCCTCTTTAAACGGTGCTGGCAAAGTCATTGCAAATTTTTTTCCTTCCTGTAGAGAGCAATAAGCCAAAATACCGATGGAAGAAATCTAACTTCAATTTAATTAGAGTTTAGGACCCTGGGCCATTCAAGGTAATTTTTCTCTACTAAGTCTGGTTGTTGTTAAGTGCCTTCGAGTTGGTTCCGACTCATAGCGACTCTGTATAGCGTTTCAAAGGAGCAGCTGGTGGGTTTGAACTGTCAACCTTGAAGGTAGCAGTCCAGTGCTTATCCTACAGTTCCACATCAGGAGTCTGATTAGCATACAAATAATATAAATACAACCAGAAATGTAACAAGGATAGTTCATGCTCATCAAATTTATTTATAAAATATTGCCGTGAATTCAGAAACACTGAATTCTAACCAGATGTATTTCTGGAGTATTACACAGGTCATATATATTTCACTTTTTTGGTTCAAACCCAGGGGATTGACATGATAATTAGATTGAGAACATCTGCACCAAATCCAAACCATTTCCCTGATCTTTGCTTGAGCCTTCCCCACGGGAAGGTTTAGAAAAAAAAATTTAAGCCCCTGCACATTTTACTTGTCTAGCCACCTTTAAGAGTAATTCCGAGGCCTCGCCTGCCTGCCACCGCACAAATAGGAGGGGGCCAGATGGACCCCAAAGTGTAGTCTGGAGGAGGACGCCTTACGAGGGGCATTTCGTCCGGACAGACATTGCCTGAGCTGGCAATGCCTTTTCCCGCCAGGAGCCATGCTCTGGGCTAGGGAGTGCCCAAGCGCGGGACTCGGGGCGCGCTGGTGGGCACGTGCGCGGGGACCAGAGGGCGCCGGTGTCGGGGAGCAGCTGCCCTCTACCGGGCGGCGCGGTCTGAGCTGCAGCGCCACTAAGTACGCGAGCTCCAGCGCCGCACACCACGGCGCCCCAGGGTGGCCCGAAGTCGGGAGCTCAGTATCTGGCGCGACGTCCCTGCGCCTCTCGACGCCCACGCGCTCCCCACCCCACCCTCTTCCTGCCCCGAGGGCTAATCAAGGTTGCAACCGGGACGCATAATGAGCCCTCCCCCCCATTCCAATGGGGCGAAGGCGCTGCAGCTGGATGACACTGAGATCCCCTAGTCGGCAGTGGGGGACTGGGGACACGCGTGTTCTCTAACCCTGGAGACTTTCATTTCTAGTTCCTTCATTCAAAAATGCCGAGTTCACGCCACTGACCAGTGTTTAACAATTCAATTGACAAGCAATTATTTTCCACGTATACATTTTATTTTACAGTGCATAGATTTTGCTTACACGTAATTGTCAAGATTAAGGAACCCCTTGCGTTTGAATCCATTGCTCATTAAATGAAGTGCAGGCGAGTACGTTCTGTATCTTCTGGACTCGCAAACTCAACCGTGTTGTATAATCAATTAAAGAAGGCGATCAGAAAGCTTGCAGTTGCCAGGTGTCCGTGAAAAAGGAAATCAATAAAGCAGTTCTTTTTGTTTTGCTTAAATTTCAGCATTTTTATAAACGTAGGCTTTCTATCTAAAGTAACTTCCCAAGTTTCGCACCCAAGGAGTAAAACTCGAGGGGTCTGCAATGCAAGAAGTTTACGAGGCCGAAGTGATGTGGGGGCATAGATGTCTGTGTTGCGAGACTTTCCCCGTGACTTGATCTAAGCAGGCGGCCAGGACTCCTGCGAACCTTCGTGGTGTGGCGGTGCTGTGCCTGGACTCTAGCTCCGCAATGGGACATTGACATGTGCAGCTATGTGGGGGTCGGGGAGCTTTCCTCCCCGGTCCATTCCCCCCAAACATGCAATGCATCTTTGAGGGGCTCGGTCTTTGCGTCCCCGCTGCTGGGGCACCGAGGGCTCGAGGTGCGGCCGCCAACGGTCAGCGCGCCCCGCACCCGCCTGGGTGCTCTGGAGCTCGGGTCGTGGGGTCTGGGCTCAGGCAGGTGGTCGCGGCGGCCCAGCGCCCCCCAGCAGGGCGAGCGACACCCAGCACACCGCCGGCGCCCCCACCGACGCGCCCGCCTCCAGATCCCACCGACTCTTCGCCGTAGGGGTCCTGCAGGGTCGGGAGTTGGGCGCCGCAAGGGATACCTCCACTTCCCCCCACCCTGTCACACACCCCAGGTGAGCCGGGCCTGGGACCTCCTGCCGCCCTCCAGCGCCCCCTCGGGGCCGGGCTGAGCCCGAAGGCCACACGCACGCAAGCCCGCCCGGGTCCGGGGCCCGAGGGGCGGGGGTCGCGGGCAGGGTGCCCGCCGAGTCGCTGGCGGGGGGCGGGGGGCCGGGGCTGTCGGCGCGAGGCCCTCGGGCTCCGACTCCGGCTCCGGCTCGGCTCGCCCGCGCTGCGGCGGCGCCGTGAGGAGGAGTCCGCGCTCCTGTGTGGCGGCGGCGGCGGCCAGCTCCAGGCCGGGTTTTGGCGCCGCCCGCCTGCTGCCTCCTGGCGGCTCCTGAACTCCAGCCCCCTCTCTATCAGCCTCTCACTCCGTCTCAATATGTCTCAAGATGGCGGCCAATGTGGGATCGATGTTTCAATATTGGAAGCGCTTTGATTTACAGCAGCTGCAGGTCAGGCTTCGGCTCGCTCGGCCTCTCGCCCGGGGGTGGGGGCTGCGGGCGGTCGCGGCCTCCCCCGGGGCCCCGCGCTGCCTCGCCGCCGGGGGCCGCGGCGGAGGGGAGGAGGGGGTGCCGGGGACGGCGGGGCCGACTCGGGGACAAGTCCCTCTTACTCCCCGGCCCCCATTGATAACTCGCTTGATCAGAAATTGATCCTCTTTGTTCAATTCATCGATCAGCCCAAGATGGCGCC